AGGATAACTATATGTTTGTCTTTGGGTTCACCTTCTTATTTAGCTTCTCTAGGATCACGAATTATAGGCTCAATGTCCTTTATTTATGGCTAGAAACCAAATATGACTGGGTCTGAAAAAGCATGGGATAGAACCGGACTCGCTGAACATAGTGGACAATGAGGACTGCTGAGAAGTCAAGAACAATGGCACTGGGTTTTGATCCTACTGCACATACTGGCTTTGGGGGAGCCTAGACTGTTTGGATGTTCACCTTACTAGATCTGGAAGGAGGTGGAAGGTCCTTGGACTTCCCACAGGGCAGGGAACCCTGACTGCTCTTCAGGCTGATGAGAGAGGGGGAGTTGATTGGGGGAGGGGGAGGGATATGGGAGGCGGTGGTGGGGAAGAGACAGTAATCTTAAATAAATAAATAAATAAATAAATAAATAAATAAATAAATAAATAACAAATGAGGCTGACTCCCCCCAAAGGCCCCACTGTATGTTGACTCTATCAGGGGCTCTTCATATCATCTTTTCTACGTTGTACAGCTTCTCAGCCTTTCCCAGCCCTGCCCTGGCTGCAAGGAAACACTGCTTTAGGTGTCAGGCACAGGATTTGAGTGACAGCTTCATAGGAATTCACAGATGCAGCCACGACCCCCAGCTGTGCCTGTGAGGACAATCACTTAAGGAAACCAATGCATCTCAGTGGGCAGGACTTTCACTGACGGCCAGCTCTGCAGTGTTAGGTCAGATGCCTCCCCGGGTCTGCAGCCTGGGGAAGTGGCAAAGCCCGTTCAAGCCATGGCCTTTACGGTAAATGGTAGTAAGTAGAGCATCTCGTGAAGAGGGTGCTGCAGAAATTAAACAAAATATCGCACTCATAGGTTACACCGGGATGTTTTGATCAATAACAGATCACATGTGCAGTAACCGTCTCCTGAGATTATAACTGAGCTGGCAGACTTTCTTACTGCTTATACCATCATTATCATGATGGAGTTCAGTGTTTTGTTCGTATGATCATGGTGATGCTAATGTAAACAAGCCATGGCCAGAGGTGTGAAAGTGGAACATGAACATTGCCTACAGCACAAACTACTTGGTAGTAACAGCAAGCTGCTGTGTAAGTCTATGGATTCAGTGTGCCTTTTTACTGTGCTTTTAGAATACATTTCTATACTTAACTACAGTAACATGCCACTGAGCCCTAGGTTAGTGTAGTTCAGTACAAACAGCACGCCACGAAATGTCAGCGCCAGACTCACGTATCAATGCTAATAACATATCTGATTCATCAAGGGGTCATGTGAAATGACCAAGCCCTGTACCATTTAAAAAGAGTTTGTAATTTAGAGCAGCTACACGATGAAGAAATCACCTCACCTTGCAGTTCTTAGGGCTCATCTCATCCTTCGGAGACACCTGAGAAAGCCCTCAGGGCTATGCGCAGCTAACACACAGTCAATAGCTCACTGCTAACACTATTGATCAATCTATCCTCTAGCCCTGAGTTGCTGCAGACCCAGCTCTGTATGGCTGGGGCTTCTAGTTGCCACCTCAGGGAACCTCACCATCCAATGGAGGGAGACCACAGACAACCAAGCGTTAGGATATAACATTAATTTTAAAAGAACCAGCTCTAGTCAGTGACACCCGTTTGGTCTAGGTGTTGTATGTACATGTTTCATATAAGGCCAGGGTGTATGGCTTCTAGCCTAAATACCTGGATACAAATTCCAGCATGATTGCCAGACACTTGCGTAATCTTGGTCTCATTCATTGACTTTTTGGAAGCCGAGTTACCTCATCTTGAGAAGAGTTAGAGAATGCATACACAATACTGACACCCCTACTCCCTACTCCTGCTGCTCGGTTGACAAGTACTAGCGATAATTAGTATATATCTGTCAGGTGTACCTGAGGATTATCAGCAATCCGCCTTCATTAAGAACAAAATGAAGAAACTGAGGCTGAAAGAGAGAGATCTACCATCTAAGCAAAGGCTCTAAAGCTTCCTCCTTGAACAACAAGAGGCGTCAGGAGACGGGGTTCCAGGCACACAGCAGCCACCTTGTGAGCCCAGACACCAGCTTTGTCCATTGTCAGTCAGACAAGGGGAGAGGTCACAGCCTTGGAGGGAGAGGGGACTGCAAAGTCTGTAATGGGAAAGCTGCCTCGGAAGGATCAATGTAAGGAAGAGGAACGGAATCTGACCCCGACACATCTCTGTCCCCTGCTTAGACAGCCACACACAGGGCACACTTTCAAGACCAGCATGCAACAGCCTGTGCAAAGAGACTGAACAGATCTGCCGAATAAAAGCTAAGTTAGGAGTAAAGTGAGGAGCATACATACATACATGCACACACACACATGCATGCACACACACATGCATGCATACATGTATGCCTACTCCACAGGTCTTTCTGGGGGAGCCAGGGGCTATTCTGGAGACCAGAACCTGCCTGGCCTAGTCTCTGTCAGAGGACTATGGGATAAACAATAGGTACTTGAGGCAGAGCTTGGCATGGCAGGGCCTGATTACCTCTGCAGCAGGCTATGCAAATTAGACCGCAACAGCCCCACAGCTGAGCAGGTGAGAGAGGAACAAACCAAACAACACAGACTCAGACCTGTTTACAGGAACACATTCTTGTAGAGAGCCTGATAAGTCTGTTCCTAAGCCTGCCTTGCTTCCTGTCACCAAGCACCTGCTTCTCATGCAGGAAAGATAATCACTCTGGGAACGGGCTCTGCTCCGGAGACCTGGCAGAATGCTTGCAGTGTAGAGCCAAGTCCTCCTTTCAACAGGCCTTCCCCTTGTCCTGTTTGGGTTGAAGGGAAACCCTACCTGGCAGGGAAAGGCTCTGCCCTGTGGGTTGCCTGCAGCTGAAAGTGACCCGCAGAGAAAGGAAGATGCCCCCTGAATTCCAAGCTCAGGGCAGCTGCTGAACAAAGACCCCAAAGATTCTTGCTGGGACAACACTGAACATCAGGGGAGGAGGTCCCAAGAGCATGGCAGCTATCACCTGTCAGGTTGGGCAGTCACCTGCTTTGTTCCTGCTGAGTGAGGCAGGTGAAGGGAGAGAAGGCAGCCCTGAAGAGAGGGGGTAGAGCAAAGGGTGTGTTGCAGGGGTGCCTGCCACAGAGAGATTAGTACAAGAAGCAAGAGTTTGTAGTTGACTCGAAAGAAGAAGGTAAAAAAAATCTGGGTAATTCTAGCCAGGATGAAGAGACAGCTGGCCTCCCACTGTAATCAGAGAGGTTGATAAGGCTTGTTAAGAGCTGTTTTGGGGTGCGGAGAGATGGCTCAGTGCTGTGAGGGCTTACTGCTCTTCCATTGGACCCAAGTTTCATCACCAGCACCCATACTGGGAGAGCACAGATATCTGTAACACCAGCTCTCAGAGATCCAGTGATCTCTCTGGCAAAGGCTGATACCAATATACAGGTGGCAAACACCAATACAGGCGCATGAACAAAAAAAATCAAAATGAATATTTTTAAGCACATTTCAGAGCCCTGATGAAAACTTCAATGTGGATATATGTATACCCGCCCCCTCTCTAAAGGGGACTTAGTCCTTTCTTTCTCTCATCCTCTCTCCTTCCCTCTCTCCCTCCCTCCCTTCTCCCTTAACCCACAATGCCTGCCTTCTCAATTAAATAGGACCACCAGCGATTCCCAATCCACACTCAAATAGAAACACCAGGTTAGGCCCGAGGTTATCCTATCTGTGCACACTTTGAAATTCCAGACTTTGAAGGAGCCTAAGAGCTTCCTCCAGCCCCCAGAAGTTGTCCTCCACATAAACAAAGAGCCCGGCCTCTCATCCCTAAGGCTCTTCATGCAGAGCCTGAGGCAAGGTTCTGCAGAGGCAGGAGCTAAGAGCTTGCTTCAGAGTCCAGAACCATCCAGCTTTGAGAAGCAGCAGCCTTCAGCAGGGTCACTGCACTAGGGGAGCGCGCCCCACAGCCCTTGGCAGAGTCTCTCTGATGTGTTAAATCCCAGCCACTTGGAAGCAGGGGCTCTGGCCCTGGGCAGGTTGCCCTCTGGCTACCAGTTTGTCCAGAGCTCAGACTATCTTCGCTCTGGGAAGAGAAGACACTGATTTTTGTAAAACAAAGACTTAGACCCAGGAAAACAAAACAAAGCAAACAACAAAAGGCACAGGACTTAGCTTGAAGTCCAGTTACCCAGGCACCATCTTTTCTGCTGAGGAATAGGTTTAAAAAGGTCATTCATGACTAAACTTCATTATATACATATATGAAACCGTCAAACAACTTTTTAAGAATTCTCATTCATGAGATTAAATCCCTGGAGGAAGTCCATTGAGGTCAGAAATAACTTAGCGTTAGTCTGTGTCCCAAGCATATCCAGGGCAGCTTTCCCATTCATAGATTTACCCTCGGTGTCACGTAACACTAACCAGTGGTGATCCGTTCGGCAACAAATGAATCCATCACAAAACCACTATAACCATGAACCCCAAAGCGGGTGTTAGAGGGTTCCGTGAAATGACAATGGTGGGAGGAGGAGCGTATATCCCAGAGGCACACGCTACTCCATATTAACCCGACACTCTCTGTGCCCAGCACAGAGCTGAAACCTAAGAGTCTGATGATAACCAGCGGGTTAAAGGCTTGCTGAAAGTCACGGGATAGGTTGTCACAGGGCCTGGGTACAGACCCACTGACTGCTGATTACACAAAACACTCAGGGCTCCCAAAGGGACAGGCCATGAATGTCACACCAGCCAGGTTCTAATGAGTGCCGCCATCCTTCAGAAAGGCCTCACCCAGGCCCAAGAGATCTCCACAAACTTCTCTGCTCAAAAGTTCAACCAGGTCACGGCAACAAAACAGAACTCACAGCCTGATCAATACCCAAATACTTCAAACCAGCTCAGTTCATCTCCTTACTCTTACACAAAACAGAGAAGTCAGGAGGCTGGGGTCTGGCGACCAGATGTACGTGTTGATTCAGGCTGCATTCAGCATCAAAACTTACCTACTGCCCAAGGGTCCGAGAAATCGCTAGCCCTCTCTCAGGCTCAGATTGTCCATCTGCAAAACAAGAAGACAACCGCAATGAGCCTGGGTGTCCTCTGCACCCACAGGTGTCAAAGATTCGACCCTAACACTGCCTGTTCCTGGAACAGGATGTTTCAGATGCTCAGGGGTCACCAGGGAACTGTTCACAAAATGAAGTGTGAGCACAAGGAAACTTAAGCCGGACGATGGTTGTGTGTCAAGCACGACACGGGCAAGTACTTAGACTGCAGTGTGGGAAATGCAGCCTTCCAATCATTTTGGCACACACTTTTGGTTTTCATAGATGCCGACATACTATGCTAGGGACACCGTAAGAAAGCACACAGAGATAACTACCTCACACGCTCTCTTTTATCATGCGGGGTTATTTTTTTTATATTTATTTTTTAATTTTTTATCGATGTGTGTTTGTGTGGGTCAATTGTGTGTGCAAGGGGCCCCAGGAGGCCAGAAGCGGCCATCAGGTCCCTTGGAGTGGGAGTTACAGGTGGTTGTGAGACAACACAGGTGCTGAGCACTGAAGCCTGTGTCCTCGAGATGGGGACGAGCAGGACAATGGGATATGAAATCTCAGGGTCTCATCAGACTCCTTTTCTTGTCCCCAGTGTTAGACCAGCGCTGCTGCCTGTCTTCTATGTCGCATTCTCTACTCCCTTCCTCCAAGCACTTTGCAGGCTTGTCCTCTGGCGTCTGGCAGCAGCACCGTCTACGCTGGGTCCAGAGGAGTTCAGGGTGGGCGAGTGTGGCCGCTGGACTCACCCAGCCTTCAGCTGGCTCCCCTCTGAGAAGGAAGGGAGGCAGGCCAGCCCGCCACCCGCAGACACTGCTTTGAAGTAAGAAACAAGAGGCCAAGGGAAAGGAAAGGAAACCGTCCATCTGTGCCCTTACCCTGTGACAGCTGCCGAGCTGATACTGTCTCCAGATATTATCTCGTGATCCTCGGGAACCACAATGGGAATTTTCACGACCAAGAAGACTAGTTCAGGCTGGCTGGCAATCCCTCCCAAACCTGCTCAGTCACTGGGGCTCGCCATCACGTGGTTTTCCATATCTGTGTGCCATTTATACCGTAGCGTACAAGTTTTCTAGATCAAGTCACTTGGTTTTGCTTTACATAATGTTTAGATTTTTGCTGTTATTGTTGCTTTACCTTTAGGTATTTATTTTGTGTGGGGGGGATGGGGCATGGCACACCGCACAGGTGGAAGTCAGAGGGCAACTTGTGGGTATCGGTTCTCTCCTTCCACCGCGTAGCTTCGGGAACTAAACTCAAGACAGTGAGCTTGGTGGCAGGTGACTTTCCCTACTGAGGCATCTCCCTGACCCTTAACTTCACCTGAAAAGGATTTATCAAAGAAGTTCCTGCCCTTCTTTGTTTCTTGCCCTTCTCTCCATCGTCCAATAAAAAGCAACCTTGCAACACAGGTGGAGTCTGTAGCTGCCAAAGGGTTGCTAACAAGGGAAAAGAGTCCACCATAGTAGCTGTGCTGCACACAAAAGTCTGCGGCTGCCTGTGGAACACATCTCATTAGAATCTGTAACCTTTGAAGGCTAAAATGCTCGCCCGTCTACCACTCAGGGGATGCTTGCATTTGGTCCGGGGTTATTCTGCAGCCTCAGAACTTAGAGCGATCACATTTTAAAGCTAAAATCACAAAAGCACTTTCCACTGTGGAATGTCGTAGAGGTTCCCAAGGTCACGTAGCTAGCTACGGAAGGAAGCAGGACTTGCCCTCTCTAACCCGGTGAACTGCTCTGTGAATACACCCACTCCCCCTCCTGCAACCTGTTCTCTGAGCTCCCAATCTATAACTCCTTGGCATTTGGCCGCTAATTAAGTTCTATTTCCGAATCAAGGCAGGTTCAGCCCATTCTGCAACATCATCAGCGCTTCCATAACGTGACGAGATCCTATCAAGGGCTATTTAAGTTCCCAAAAAAGGGCACTTTAGGAAGAAGCATCCAGGCTTCAAAACATGTGACTGAAAGCGATTCTTTATTTAAAGATCTAAGATAGTAGCCAAGGGAATAGAAAGGGCCTGGCACATAATACCTAGGCCTCCGCTGTCTCTGGTAAGGAGGACGAAACCCCAGTCACCAAGGGGTTGTGCCGGACTCTGGCTGACGAGGCTGGGGAGTAGGATTGTTAGAACTCTAAGTCCCCACCTCCTGCCATCGTCTTAAAATTCATTGGCGTGAAGTTTTTATGAGAAGAGAGGAAATAGGTGAAAAGGCCGGAAGAAGCTGCTTCGCCTGCTTTGGTGCGAGTCCTCATTCCCTCAACAAAGACTGGGCAGAAGCAGCAACAGAACAAAGCCCTGAATAGCCTCTCCCAGTCCAAGAACCCTTCTCTCTGGAATCCTCGCTCCCCAATTCACATTAGAATTAGTTAATTATTGTTGCAACCATAATTCACATTCCCCTTTAAAGTCATTTTTATTTACAAGAATGCACTAAATATTTTTAAAAGTTACTACCACCTGGCAGCATCAGTTAAGATCCAGGCCCCTGTAAGCCTGTATGAAGGAATACTGAGAAACAGATGTTGACATAGTATGTGTTCATGTTTACAAAGTAGGGCCACACCATGTACACTGACTTTAATGCCTTTTGAGCTTGTTTTTTGTTTTTGTTTTTGGAGACAGAGTTTTTCTGTGTAAGAGTCCTGGCTGTCCTGGAGCTTGCTTTGTAGACCAGGCTGACCTCAAACTCACTGAGATCAGCCTGCCTCTGCCTCCCAAGTGCTGGGATTAAAGGTGTGTGCCACCACCACCCAGCGACTTTAATGTCTTTTTAACTTAGTAAAAAAACATACTCTAAAATGGCTACATGGATAGGTAATTAATCCCCCACTGATGGAGGTATACACTTTCCAAATTTTTTGCTAATTAATATTTCATCCATTTTTCTCATGTGGCAGTTTGATTATGTATTTTTAAAGCTACGCTGCTGAGCAGTTTTAAGAAATGTGCAAATGCCCCCCACAAAAGAGTGTATCACTCTAATCTCTACCGGCAGCCCACGCGCGCACCAGCCTCCCTTGCTCTTGTCAATATTAAACATTAGGATCCTGGTTTACTCTTGTCAGTGTGGTAGGTGCATGGCAGCCTGGTATTTTAATCTGCATACCTTCAATGTAAGCATGTTTTTCTACATGTCCTAGCTTTGTTGGGGAGTTAACATGCTTGCTGCCCTTTACCCATTTCTGAGTATGTGCTGGACTCTCTGAGTTGGTACAGAAGGATTTGCCATTTGTCTGTTTCTTTATTATTACTGCTGCAGCGGCTGCTGTAGTAAGCTTGCTTCCAGCATGTTCAATCACACCCCCAGCTCCTAATTGCTTCTGCCCGAGTCCTGGATAGCTGTTCTGACACATCCCTCATGTCACACTGGCCCTGGCCAATTATTCGCCAGACCCTATCAATTCTACCTTCAAATATACCTGAAATCTGTCCATTTTTTCTCCCTCCACAAGAGCTGAGGGGGCTGTGGGCCTCTCTCCCTGTGTTAGCATGGAGAGCATGTTAACACCCCAACAGAGTTAATTGCTGCGACATGCAGGAAACAATGTTGATGATGAAGATATGCAGATTAAAATAGCAAGGCACCATGCACCTACCACGCCAACAGAGATAAACCAGGATCCTAAGTTCCACAGTCTCACCAAGCAACCAACGCCTCTCACAGGGATTTCTGCGGGACCCTCCTGCCCACCCTGCACATCCTCTACTATAACCCTCTCCCCACAAGCCTGAGGGTTTTTTTTTTTAATAAATGAATAGCCCCCAAAACTCCCTACTCTCTTGAAATGAAAACCTGAAGTCTGTGAGGAGTACTTGAGCCTTGAGACTGTTTTGAGAAGTTGGGGGCAGCACTGCAGGGTATCCTGACTCTCTAGCCATGTCCCAAGCCACCATACCTGCTTCCTCCAGATTTTAATGATGACAGAAAGGAAATGAGGGACAAACCGGGTTTGTATCAAAGGCCAAGAAAGGACTATTACATTTTTTTCCCCCCCGCACACAAAATTCAAGCCGTGGCCTTGGCAGCAAGAGCCCTAGAAGTGGGGATGCCTGGGAGGCTAGATCCACATCACATGACACGCTCCTCCACAGCTCTGGTGGCTCTCCACCCTCCGTGCCCACATTCAATAAATGTCTCTTCAATGGATTCAATTTTAAGTCAAATTATGGAGTAATTACATCAAATTTACCCTCTTCTCTCCCATATTCAAAAATAAATTTGCATGACTGGAATTATTGACTTGATGAATTTGTCTTTGTATAGAGTGAGACATATATTTATAGATATTTCCTCCCCGGTTATTTTTCTGAGTTAAGTGGGGGGAAGCCGATAAAGGGAAGAGAGGCTCTGCTCTCCTCTGGCTGTGTTTCAGCATCTTGACTCTGCTCCCCGAATCCACCTTGTCCTCAGTACAGCATCCAGCCACTGAATTTACTGAAACTCTGTTTACTCTACATCCACGCCCCTACAGGATCCCAGAGAGGGGCATAACAAGTCTGGTGTGGTATGAGTTGCTAATTTGACAGGATTGAGAATTAACCTGGACTATGAACCTCTAAGCACCAGGCGGTTAAGACCCATCATAATTGAGAGTGAGATATTCCCTGGGCGGGGGCTTCTAGACCGGATCGAAGGAGAAAGTGAATCAAGTTTCAGCTTGTATTCATTGCTCTCTGTTTCAGACGGTGGGTGTGATGTGGCTGCCTCAACATCCCTGCCATGGCAGAGGGGACCTTGAGCAGCTGAAATGAACCCCTTTTCCCTTGTTGCTTTTGATCACAGCAGCAAAGGAAGAAGTGATGTCTGGTGCAGCGCCATTGCTTCAGGTGCATGGAGAAGCTTCTCGAGCTAACCCACCCCAGTTGCCAGGGACCTGTTGATAATATCCTTTATAACCCTGGGACCACTGGCATATGGAAGTGGAAGGTCAGTAAATCAGGATGCTCTGGACCCTGAAGGAGGAGGCACCAATAAAAACCAGTTTCTCT